TTTCCTGAATGAAAGAGTCAACACAAGCAAATGAATCAAAGGCAACTGGTCAACTCACCTGTCATTGAGTAATATTCCGCGAAAGGAGGTCTCAGCTGCGCCGAAACGAAATAAGCCAGGCCATGAGACGAAATATCCGAAACAGCTCATGCAAGAAGCAGTTCCAAAGAAGGAAGTTCCTCGCGCATGCACATCCGAACACGGATCCGCGAACTGCATGCACTGAACACAATGTCTGCCGTGCACGTGCACAGCACACGGCTACCACGCGTTGGTTTTTTTTTCCACACGGAAAACTGAGCCTCTTGTACGGGCAAAATAACACATTTTGTGAAGAATCAACGTTGGTAGATCTAATACCGAGCACCTTACGTAGAGACTTACGTAGCCTAAGTGAAATACCGAGCACCTTACGTAGAAACTTACGTAGCATAGCGATGTCGTTTTTTCTGCCATGTGAACACAAAAATAGAAAAGCTGACAGGATCGCTTTTCTAAATGTAGCATTCTGCATGATTAGGATAGTGCTTCCCTGCCAGCCAGGCGTTATTTGCAGAGGACATGCACTGGATCTTAAGTTCATCAGTGTTGTTTTCGGCTACCATGCATTCCACATATCCGTGCATGATCATTAGTTACCATGACTGTTCCTTCGAATTGGTACTGTTCTGACAGTTGAGAGGGGGGAATGGTGTAACAGATTCACTGTTACTACTAACACTAGGAATAGGATACACTTATCACCTGCTATTATCACGCTGCTGCTGTTAGGTGTTATGTCCATCATTGCTTGTTCATGTATATAAGAATGCATTATGGCAAGGATCATTGCTTATTCCAAGAATGACTACTGAAGTTAGTTGGACTGTTACAGACAGAGTACTGAAACATTCGACGTCCTGACACCTAGCTTCAACACATCTCGGTAGCGCTAACCGACAGCCTTCCAACTTGGAAGGTTCAAGGTTATAGAAAGACCAAAGAGGGGAAGGCAAGCGCAACGAAAACGAGCAAAAGCTACAGTCCCAACGGAACAAAGAATGTCGATTGTTACTGGACGATGACGAGACCAGTACGATATAGGAGTAGGAGGAGTAGGAGTTTGGCTTTCGGCTTGTACAGTTCGTTTTCGCAAAGCTTCCCTTTCTTTACTTATCTTTGATATTTATGACCCACCCAAGTTGGGTGGTGTGCTGCTTTGCTGCTTCGAATTGTAGTTAGACCGCTTTGTCAAATATCGTACTGGTCTCGTCAGAGTCTAGACTTCTGGCCAAGTGGCATTTCGGTTCGTGAATGGCGCTTCAAATCAGACCGCATCACTCAACAGAACTGAGTGCGTCGCTCAATCCACTTGCGCCACCATTCCTTCCTGATTCTGGACGACAAACTAATAAAACTCCCAATCAACCTGCCCAATTACCTTCATCCTTCTCAGTGCTCTCACTTAACTGCCGCTCCATAGTAAATAAGTTAGCTGAGCTTAGTCAAGTCTGTGAGCAGTATTCTCCAGACATAATCTGCCTATGTGAAACGTGGCTGACAGCTGCCATAGACGTCTCAATTCCAGGCTACACGTCATACCGCCTGGACCGCCCACCCACGACCAGCTCTGATAACCTGCCAGCAAGAGGCTATGGCGGTGTTGCTACTCTTGTAGCTGACAGATCGTTCATGTCCATCAAGCGCCGCTTCGACCTTGAGCGCTGTGGACTGGAGGCGGTTTGGCTCGAATTGCGGCCAGTGATCCTTCCCTCACTCCCCCTCATCATCTGCTCTGTTTACAGACCCCCTGGAGACAGCATCTCCCAAGTCCAGGCATTTAGTGACCTCCTAGAGGACTGTCTGTCCAATATTAGCCTCCCCAATTCGGCGATTGTACTTGCAGGAGACTTGAATGCTCGCCACTCTGACTGGTCTCCTAGTGACACCACGAATCGTGCTGGAAGGGAGTTCCGTAACCTCTTCTCTTGTTTTGGCCTTGAGCAAATGGTGACATTCCCCACACACTTTACCCCCCACGGCTCAACATCGTGTATTGACGTTGTACTCACGGATCATCCTCACCTACTACTCTCTGTTACATCTGTTGCTCCTCTTGGTGCATCTGACCACGCACAGATCCTCAGTCATTTCCCCCTACTGATGCTGTTCACCGTGAGGAACCTGCTGCAAGCGGACATCCCGCTGCTGCACCCCGAAGCCACTTCAGCAATGTTCCTGCAAAGCCGGAATATGACTTTAAATCCGTGCCATCTTCCGTCTGGGATAGTGTGAATGCAGAGCTCTCTGATATTGACTGGAGCTGGCACCTGCGTGCCAGCAACGTCGATGATGCGCTTTCACACTTTTCTTCCATTCTCAACAGTGCCCTTGAGAAGCACCTCTGGCCGTTCGGAAAGCAGCCGTATTCTCACCGCTGCCCACGGCCCAGTCAGCCACCCTGGGTTGATGCCCATCTCCGCACAGCAATCAAGTGGAAATATGATCTCTATAGCATTTTTAGGAAGTACCCAACACAACAAAACAAACGAGCATACCAACAGCAGCGAAATATAGTGAAAACCCTGACGCGGACAAAGTACAGAGCTTATATCCGCTCAGTGAAAACTACTTTGCAGGGTAGACACCGTCCATCGCTTCACCAGTTTTTGAGACAAGCAAGAATTCGAAACGTATCACGGGAAATTCCGTCACTCACAACAGGGACTCAGCAGGCGGCTGACCCTTTGGCCAAAGCTACGGCATTAAACGCCCAGTTTGCCTCTGTGACTCGGCCAGATGACCCGTTGCTCTCTATTCTCACCCCCTCGGAGCCCTCAGCTTGTTTCACGTCCGTCATCACCACAACTGCCACTGTCCGGCGTCATCTGAAGAAGCTTCCGACGTGCAAGGCGTCTGGTCCTGACGGCATCCCCAACCGGGTCCTCAAGGCCCTGGCACCATCCATAGCATTCCCTTTGTGCCATATTTTCAACATGTCATTTACCACGGGCATATTCCCTTCCGCATGGAAAACAGCGAAAGTCATACCTGTATTCAAGAAAGGTTCCCGCCACGAACCTGCAAACTACCGCCCTATCTCTCTTCTTCCCTGCGTGTCCAAAGTATGTGAACGCATCTTTTATGACCACTTATACAGACATGTTTCGCCGTTTCTGAGTCCCGCACAATCAGGGTTTCGTAAAGGCGACTCCACCTCTCTTCAACTGACCCGCATCGTGCAGCAGGTGTGCCAGCATAGGGATAACAGAGCGCTTGCTGGCATTTGCTTCTTTGACTTGGCCAAGGCTTTTGATACCGTCTGGCATCGAGGACTTTTGGCAAAGCTCGAGCATGCATTCAGGGTACGCAAACAACCACTCTCCTGGCTGAAATCTTATCTCTCTGGGCGTTATCAGTACGTAACTGTGCTTGGCACATCCTCGGCTGCAGAGCCAGTATTGTCGGGCGTTCCTCAATGATCAATTCTTGGTCCCCTACTATTTATAATTTACGTAAACGACTTACCTGCAGTCTTCCCTGGAACGTCTCTGTTTGCTGACGACACGACCCTTCTCACCTCATCAGCTTCCCTCACTGGCCTGAAAAACAACTTGCGTGCTGGCATTCAGGAAGTTCTTTCCTGGATGTCGTCCTGGAGGTTGTCCCCAAATCTATCAAAAACAAAGATCATGCTCTTCCCGCCCCAGCCGGAGTTCACAACCCTCATCCATGCCAACTTTCCAAATCCAATTGACATAGTGTCTTCTCACAAACACCTTGGCATTGTGATTGACTCTGCACTCTCTTGGGTACCTCACATCGAATATATCTGTAAAAAATCAAGTAAATCCTTAGGAATTCTCTCCCCCCACTGCTCCTGCCTCCCACTTTCTTGCAAGCTTCTTTTTTATTTAGCCTACCTTCGCCCAATATTTCATTATGCAGATACGTCTTGGGTTGGGTTATCCTCTTCCGCTGCTGCAAAGCTTGAAATACATCACAAGAAAATCCTTAAAATCCTCCTCCGTCAACCCCGCATGCTCTCATCATCCGCCCTTTATAAAATCGCTCACACAACCCCGTTATCACATGGACGCAGTGCACACCTGGCTTCTCTTGTCCATTCTATTAAGCTTGAGTTGTGCCCACCTCATCTCATGTGTTTTAATTGGTTCTCTTCTCTAAGAACTAGAAACTCGCTCTTACTCCCTAAGTGTAACTCATCCACTCTTTTGCGCTCCCCTCTCTTTATTGCTTATTCTGTTTGGCTCACTCTACCCAGAGAAGTTAAGGACCTGACCTCACTCCGCCTGTTTAAGATCCGTGCCGCCCCTTATTTACTACGACATGCATAGCTCATTATCCACATGTCTTCTGCGTCTCTGTGTTTTTCACTGTTTTTATTTGACATTATCTTTCTTTACGGAGTTGTTGTTGCTGTTCGTTTTGCTACTCTTTCTTTTTCCCTCCCCTTATTTCTATTTATCGCCGTGGTTGGCAATCACCCACTCTCGTCATATTGGCCGGTGTTTCCGCCGAGTCTTGAGATGTTGCAATAAATAATAATAATAAAAATAATAATGCATTCAAGAGCTCACGAAACACAAGAAATTGAATGAAGACTACCTGTTGGTGTCCCTCGACGTGGTCGGCCTCTACAGCAACATCCCGATCGCTGACGCCATTGAAGCTGCGACTACATTACTGGAGGAGCACCGCGAGGATGTCGATATGTTGGGTCTGAGTGTGAAGGATGTCCAAGGTACCCTCCAATTCATCCTGACGAATAACATATTCGAGTTCGACAATCAGCAGTACCGACAGCTGAAGGGAATCGCCATGGGCAACCATCTGGCGCCGCCATTGGCCATTATTCCCGTAGCTATGCAGAAGACGTTACTTCAGTAACGTCTGGCGCTAGCCAGGGTCCACACAGCTTTAATTTGGTGTTTGTTTGTGTGTTTGTGTCACGCCTGGCGCTATGCCGTATCTGTCCCGTACCGTACCGTACCATCAAACACAGCTGGCCACATACAGCTGGCCGCAATATTCAAATAGGGTTTTCAAACGCAAGATCATAACGTGAAGCAACTTGGAAGAATGAGTATGAATGCGAAGTGTATGGGGGAATACATGTAAGGCGATAGTGCGAGTTCGAATCCCAGGTAATGCCTGAAAAAAAATAGGAGAATTGAAAAATTTATAACATCGAACCGACAAGAAGAGATCATGTCTGTGCTCTGTACAGATGAGTTTCACCAAGGACAAAAACAGTACTGCCCGAAGATGGAGCATACTGAGAAGTTAATGCGCTGCATGCTACCCATTCCACCATGCACATATAGCTGGTATGTCGCCGCATTGTGCCTGGGAACTAGAAAGGCTTTCAAAAGATGAAAGAAGAAAAGTGCATTGGAACTTGTACCGGTGAGCTAAGAAAGGGTCCGTTGAGCGAAATGTAAGTTGAATATGAACTACTTGCCAGGCAAATTCACACTGGAGATAGATGGAGGAAGAGCAATGAGAGAGCCAGAAGAAGGGAGAATTATGTACATGTATATGTATCTGGCGCAGTCAGCAGCGAATGCTCAGTTGGAGATATAGCAGTTGATCCATGTCATCAGGTAGGCGGGCGGACAAACACACGGGGAAAAAGACTGGTGCATCTACCTAAAGGAAAGGCTTGGAAAGAATTGCGTGACTTTCGACTTGAGTGACCTGATGTTAGGAGCAGAGGAAAACAGCAACCAGGAGTGTAGAGTGAGCTTCAAACTCTGAATGGAAGTCATCGCGACAAGCACGGGGTATGCCTAGGCTGAGGAACGTAACGCATGGCAGGTGTGTGCTTGCTGCTCAGCAGCCAGTCAAATGATCACGACTGATGTTCGTGACAGGATGGACCTCTATGAGTGAGCAGCGTGATCTCACCCGGCAATATCCATTGGTTCAGTGTCATGACCAGCGTGTGCTGCTGCTGCCGCTACTATGTCACTCCTGCAGGGTGTATCAGAAACAGCACACAGGCAGCAGCAGCATGTTAATGTTAAAAAGAGAAATAATGAGTTTCACACCTCAAGCATCACCTTGTCAATGTACCGTACAACGGGAAAGGATTAGGATATATCAGAGACAAATAATTAATGGCAGGGGCAGAGCAAGGTTCTGTGACAATGCGGCAGTGAAAGGAGTCAATGTTACCTGTGGGGTTGGCCAAGGGGCCGCGTAGATTGCTCCGGCATTTTTCCTTCGTACAGGAGGCGCTGAACCATCATCTTCTCTTGCAGCGCTTGCTGGAGACGCTCAATTTGTCTGTGCACACACAACATGGCCAATGGGTAAGCGAAGCCGGAAGAAACACAAGCTCACTGCAGCTCCATAGGTTGGCGGCAAGTGTGGCCAGCAATCATGCTATTTCCCCTGGCACAACACTGTCAAAAAATATTTTTGACTGTGTAGTGCCGGGGAAAGAGTATGTCTGCTAGCCAGGGCTTTTCACTGGTAAGAGAAATCCATTCTTTTTCCATTTCCCTTTTCAACTATAGTAACTTCCACTGCATGTAATGAAGGCTCGCATTTAAAAAAAACTTCAAACACACCATGCCAATGAAGGGAAGTGATACAGACTCGGAGCAGACATACCCGATGGCAAGGGCTATGCCATTGAAGGTGTCTGTGCCAATGGGGTAAACCAAATACTAGTAAGGAGTTAAGACCTCTTTAAAATCTGGATGCAGCCGTTGGGCAGATTTCTGGTGGATTGTGAAGGGGGCTCGGCTAAAGGATATGCCCACGTACTGATAACATTGTGTGCATATCAATGCAAAACAAGTTCACAGTAATGGGAGAGTGTTTCTTCTTTTGTTACACTGAGTTTCACAGCAGCAGAGCCAGAGTCCCCAGGCAACATTCCACTGGGAGAAACTAATTACCTGTACATGGCATATTGCAGAGTTCTTGCTGAAAACAAAAAAACTAGCAGGAGGGATTGGGTGCAGGGACACGGTGCAAATCTTCTGTTTCTTAGAATTTAGTCACAAAGTTCTAGGAATTAGTCAAAATTTGCTGTACAGGTATGGTACGGTCAACCATGTTCCAAATTCAGCATTCACTTATACAACTACTGTCGGAATTTGTTCCACTGTAACTATCTGAAAACCCCGATGAAGCACACAACTTTCTGTCACATAAAACCTCCCCTTGCTTTAAATAACCAGAGTGATACACCGCTTCTTAGTCAGGATCAGATCTGTCGTTGCCTGAAGACAACTCACCTTTGCAACCTGACAAGCTCCTTCACCTTGGGCGCAATGGTTGTGCTATTCAATTGGCCGTGTGTGCCTGGAACATTCAAGCTACATCACAGGACATGGAAGAGCAACACAATTGCAAAGTTTACATCTGTTGCAAGGGAGGTATCCCCAAACAAGCAGGACTAACAAAGGCCGGGAAAGAGGGAATTTCCCTTCTCACTGAAAACCAACTAGTGATAACCTCATCTGCTTCAGACATCGAAATAATTCACCAATAAAACTGAGTATAGATCAGCACAATTATAATTATCACTGAATGGCAGTGACAATGCGAAGGTGAATGCCAGTGAGGTACTCTTTTCCTTGTTGTCTATCCATACGCTTTCAGTTCTGCATCAGTCATGAGGCTGCATGCACTCAGTTTTCTGTGCTCGTTTTACATTTCCAAGGTCGCAACTCCACAAGTAGAATATAAGCTTGATGCTGTTCTGTGTATCAGTTACGTGTGAAATTTGCAGTAGGAATGCCCAATGCCACGGTTACCTGTGACGGAAAGTTATTGCCTCCCCAGGTCTCTAGAGCCCACACATCTTAAAGTTGCAATGCGAGACGAGTGAACAGATAACAACCTGTGATGGAACATGACTCATTAGGGAAGTTTTGCTCTAAGTAATCACGTATGAAAATCCTTATGTCGCACGCGCCGGGGAGCGAGGACGACTTGCATACGTGAATCTCTCTACGGATTTCCGTAGGAATGCTCTTTCCTACGTTGGGTCCTCCGTAGGACGTTTCGAAACATTTTTTCACATTTTCCGGATTATCCATGGCAACGTTCAAGCCACGCGAAACACAAGGTACGCACCACGTGGAAAACAAAATGGAAACGTGGTTTCAGTTCATGGTGCATGTGATGGGCACATGCAGCTAACGCGTCTCCAAAGCAACATGGCATGCTCAGCAGTCGCGGAGAAATCACGTCAGGCGACACCCAACAGCGCTGATTTCTACGTATAAAAATTACGTGCAGGTCCTACATTACTTTATACGTAATTACGTATAGCGAAATCTCCCTTTTATTATACAAGCTCCGCTGAAAGATCTTCTCATGACCGAGCCATGTTTTCTTACTTCCTCCGTCGAACACATCTAAAAATCCATTCAGAGTTAATGGATATATGGATTTTGCACCCCGATTCTGGTTTTAGGACCAGCATGTCTCTATATCTATCGATGCTTAGTTAAGCCAGCCAAATGCAGAACCTGGCCAAAAACCAATTTCTGGCATGGTCCACTTTCTTGAGGAATGTGCCCCAAAACACAAGCAGACAAGCATTCCAGCATGCTTACAAACACAATTCTGAGCTCAATTTTAGACCCATTTATAGCGGAAAGCAAGATGGCCATCCTTTCCAGAAAGAACTGCAGAAATGCAGCGGACTCAAACCTCACTGATTGTAACATTAGCACACAGTCTTTTGTCCTAAGCTCATAGTCCAATCATACGTATGAACTTTACCCGGGACCTAGCATCGACTACGCATTGCTCACTTCTTCTCGCGGATATAGTGCTCGACCACTGCATCAGCAGAGATGCCGTACTCTCCTCGTAGCTTGCTGCATAACACGAAACAGAGTCACACACACACACACACACACACACACACACACACACACACCTTGACCTTGACCTTTGACGCCCATCGCCGGAGGCGATGATAGCAATGCTACGGCAGAAGCCATAGCAACTTGTGCTGGGATTGCACCATTCAACAGCTTGCAAGGCTGAAGAATTGACCGTCACTATTCAGCCTGGTCTACACCATACAGCTATTTGAAGTGACTTTTTCCGGCCAGTGAATCCCTACACACACACACACACACACACACACACACACACACACACACACACACACACACACACACACACACACACACACACACACACACACACACCTGTATTGGCGCTGTAGCACTTGCAACACTTTCGGCATGAACAGAACTCCAAAGTATATTCACGTAAGCGGCAGAGGAAGTGGGCAAGACCACAGTTTAGCACACTGATACATGGTGGGTACATTTATTGGTACACAGTGCACAATGTGTCAACAAGCTCAGGTACAAACACATAGGTTTCGGCCTGACCAATTATCACTCAATTGACAGCATTCTTTATAATATGGGGCACAGGATAATGTGAATAGTTGTCAGTAGTGTGTCTGTCCAGATCATCTAGAGCTACCCAGACTATCTATACGGTAGTCGTTCAGACCATATAAGGCTGTCCAGACCATCTATAGCTGGTCACACCATCTATTGTCATTCAGACCATATATAGCTGTCAGGACCTTCTATAGCTATCCATACCATCTATAGCTGTTCAGACCATCGATAGTCATTCAGACCATATATAGCTGTCCGGACCATCTATAGCTATCCAGACCATAATTATATTATAGCTGCTCAGACTATCTATATCTGTCCAGACCATAATAACTATAGTAGATCTGTCTAGACCATTAGAGCTGTCCCGACTACCAATACCTGTCCAAAGCTCCAAACCATCAACAGCTGGTCGAGTCATCTTTAGCTGTTCAGACCATCTATAGCTAGATCTATAGATATTCAGGGTGCTGGATCATCTTCAGCTGGTCAGACTATCTACAGCTGGCTGGACCATCTACAGCTGGCTGGACCATCTATAGCTAGCTGAACCATCTATAGCTAATCGGGTCATCTATAGTTGACCAGATCATCTACGTGAGCTGACTGGGCCATCTAAAGCTGGCTGGATCAGCTATAGCTGGTCGGACCGCCTATAATGTGCCGGAGCATCTGCACCTGCTCGGGCCATATACAGCTGGCCAGACGTTCTGTAGCTGGTTTGATCTTCTATATTATATACCTGTGTAGCTGGCCTGAACATCTACTGCTGGCCTGAACAAGTATACCTAGCCCGACCAGTTCAAAGGGGCTGTTGTAGCATGCCTAGCAAACCAGCAAAGTTGGGGAGTTAGTATTGGTTGACAGGACGTAAAAACTCATATCAGATACGACCTATCAAGGGTCCAGGTATTGGTTGACAGGACATAGAAACTCATATCAGACACGACCCATCAAGGGTACATGCACGAGAATGGTACCAACCTGCGCCAAACCAAAATCTCTGGTCCCAAGAAACTAAGTACAACTGTAATGCTCTCTTACTCTTCCAGGAATAGCTCCACTTCAGCTGCTTTCTGCATCGCATCCCTCATCGGCTTCTCCATTTCGGCTACATACCTGCAGGGACAGCAGACAATTTTGGAAATATTTTCTAGGCAACTTTTATACAGCTCTGTGCCTGTCATCCGCACGTCACTCATTCAAACATGCCTATGAATGAATCACTGGCCTCAAGGAGAACAATACAACATCATCTGGATGTGCCTTACAGTATATTGCCCACAAATCACATCTTTCTCAACTGCCATTGCATTTTTGCAGCAGATGCACCTGGGATAGCCTGCATTGCATCTGCCATGTACCGTTGCAATTACTCGTATCAAGGTCTAGGAGTGGTAGACCTGCTCAAGATATACTACCATAAACCTAGAACATGTCCTTTGGACAGTGCAAGACAGCTAGAGCACTCAACTGCAGCTATCCTAACCAATCGTTAATTCAAACAGGAACTCCCCCCCCCCCCTCCCCCTAGTTCAGATTCCCGGTCAGTGAAACTCGACCTCATGCCTAAGAATAGCACTGGGTGCTGCATTACTCTAGGACGATGGGCTTTACTTGGAATCTATGCACTCCGGCACAGTGCTACGCCATTCATGATGTTGAAAGTTCAAGTACTTAGTACTTTCATCGTGGGAGCCCATGAATGGTACGAACTGTGTCGAAATATCAATCGCAGTGCGTGATCAGACAGTGCGTGATCAGACAGTGCGTGATCAGACAGTGCGTGATCAGACAGTGCGTGATCAGACAGTGCGTGATCAGACAGTGCGTGATCAGACAGTGCGTGATCAGACAGTGCGTGATCAGACAGTGCGCGATCAGACAGTGCGCGATCAGACAGTGCGCGATCAGACAGTGCGCGATCAGACAGTGCGCGATCAGACAGTGCGCGATCAGACAGTGCGCGATCAGACAGTGCGCGATCAGACAGTGCGTGATAAGACAGTGCGTGATCAGACAGTGCGTGATCAGAAACTGTATCAAAATGGCACCGTGCAGCAGAACTGTTTCTCTAACAGGATCGTGAGTTGTCGACATGGACAATTCACATTGCTGTTTTTGGACAGAGAGAGAGAGGGGTGGAGAGATACATGTAGATATATAGATAGATAGATAGATAGATAGAGAGAGAGAGAGAGAGAGAGAGAGAGAGAGAGAGAGAGAGAGGGAGAGAGAAAGACAAACAGAAAGACAGACAGACAGACAGACAGACAGACAGACAGACAGACAGACAGAGGCGGGGTGCCTTACCTCTGATACGCCTCTTTTTGTGCTGGACCAACCTCATCACTTCCAAGGTCTTGCATTGGCGGCGCTTGCATGTCCGGATTCCGTTCGTACATCCCTTCCCTACCTTTTACGTACGAGACATTCTTGAACACTTCAGTCACCAGGCCGACTACTTCCTTCCCGAGAGGTTTGTCGGGCACTCCGCTAGCTTCATAATACTCTTCCAAGTCAAACGGCTTGTCGTCTTGACCATACTCGCCCGGGATGCCCAGGATCTGGGCCATCTCACGGTGCATTTTGGCCATCCCTGCTGGTTTGTAGTCTCGGTCGAAGCCCAGCTTCACCATTTTCTCCCGATACCGCTGCAGATAGCCGAGGTAGTTCTGGCTCAGCGATTCCACTTCCTTCTCAATCTCGGGGCATTTCAGGCCGGCCTTCTTGGATCGGCAGATGATGACATAGTCATTCAAGGAGGACATGGTCTCTGCCGCTGCGATGCGAGCCTGCAGGAGATCGTGGCAAAACCAGAATTCAGATTCACACACTGGTTTCTACAATAAGGAAGTCAAGCCTGCCCATCGATTCTTCTGTTCACGGCGGTGTAGGCCATTGACCTCTCTAGTGAATGTGTGACTGGGGGTGAGCAGAAGACCTGGCGCATCGCACCAAAATCGTCGCTACAGGAGTTCGCCCGGAAATATATCCGCAAATGTGCCCAGCAATCCCTGGTACCTTGGATCAGACAGGGGAGCATTGAGACACATCACACTCAAAATAATTAATAGCAGTGACGAATGAACATTAAACAACGGCTGCTGATTTTGATAAGAATTGTGCAGAAGCTCATCATGCAACATTGCATCACACGGACGATGGTACCGCACTTACATCTAGAATATTGGCTCCGTCTCTGCGCCTCTTCTCTAGGATGGGTTGCGCCTTCTTGCTGGCCAGTTTGATGCCAGGATGGTGCTCTTCCATTTCCAGCTGGTCGGCCACCTCGCATTTGCGCACGGCAAGGTCCAGCGTTTCGCGCAGGTCCTGCATCATCTTGCGCACTCTGGCTTCTTGCGCTTGTGCTTGTGCTTGCATCTGCTGATGCTGGGAATGCGCCGGTTGCTGGTGTTCTTCATATCCCGAGTATTGTCGCTGCCCGCGGTGTGAGTGGTGGGATCGTGGCTGTTGTGGACGCGATCCGCCGAAGCCTTGACTCCCGAAACCCGACATCTTGACTTGAGCGGACAGGCTGAAACTTTACTTCGATGACTGCTGTTGCAATTACGCGCAGAAGAAAATGTAATGTTCAGGAGAGAAAGCCTACGAGCTGCGTCTAGCCGCAATGTTTGCCGTTGTGACCGACAAGGTGAGGAGAGCAGGCAGTTTTATAGTCTGATCGGGGGCAAAGCAGCAATACACGCCACAAACACGAAGCAATGCAGGACAGCAATGTAGAAACATTTACCTTTCGCTACACGTTGGCAAGAAAATCATCCTGCATCTTGCTAACGATTGCTAGATTGGCGGTGAAAACTGTTTTGAAGGGAAAGTTCATGCATCCATCCTGTCATGCATGAATCATTCCTGCGGGGTTTAGACCTCCAACAGTCAACAGGCCAGTGGATAGAAGCGTTTGAACAACAGCGAGCTGGACATTTGTGCAATCAGTAAGTTAGTACTAGTAGTAGTTATGATTGTGATCAACCTGGCTTTTGAGTGTTGTGAGCGTAGCTAGGTGTGCAGCGGGTCGAGAGGACTCGAAACGACGCGTACTGCCCTTGCGGAAAACCTGTCACTCTCGATCGACCAACAGTCTTGTGTAGTTCATCTTGAGTGAGTGCATGACAACCAAGTCCAAGGCATGAAGAACTGAGTACTGCATGCAGGTGATAGTCATGAGGAGGGACTCTCCCCAAGGCGAGGTGGCAGTCCCTTCATGACTCCCCGCTCACGTCAAGTAACGCAGAGCATGTCGTTCAACGACGTACATCTACTCTTGCGGTGACTCATAAGACTCATAGTCATACCTCAGTGACCTCACTAAAGCTATCATGGGTTTTTCCCCACTGAGTTGGAGTCGAGAAAAAAACACCATAGAATCTACAGAACGTCATTGCATAGACAAGCAGCCAGGCAGGAACAGCAGCATATGCACCAGGCATTGGACATGGGTCCGGGTGGTGGGGAAATGATGTGGTGAGACACTGAAATTACTTACCGGTACTTGTGAAGTTAGTTCTGATGAGGTTCTGTCAGCTAACGTTTTGGCGGCCTGCACGCGTTGCAATCGTTATCAGGGTTATCCTGTAGAAAGTAATGTTAGTACCGGTAAAGTCTACATGACATAGGATAAATCCCAGGATTTACTGTCATGTCGAAAGGACACATGCGAAGCGGACGATCAAGATGATTCTCGGTGTTGGCGAGCAGCGCAAGCAGTGTAGCATGCATTCTCCAAGTCCAAGTCCAAGCTCATTCCGACATTCGGGAGACTTTCTGTACGTAGTCGCGTCAGCAGTCTCAGCTGGTGACACATGATGTAGTCATGACTCGTGTTGTCATTTCGGGGAAGCCCATCTTTGCGTGCTTGTGCCGTGCGCTTGTGCAAGAATGGGACATGCGCCTGCGGCCTAGCGCCTAGAAAGCAGGCCCCGGCCGGGGTCCCATCGTGTGGTCGAAGCGAACACGCGATGACGCGATGCTTATGCAAGTAAGTTATGGGCCGTGCAGCCAATACTCACTAGCAGTATTTCAAGCGGACTTCTGGAACACCATAGCACTATTTCCAATGGATTTCCGTTGAGTTTGGATGCCGGTGTGACTGTGTCTTCTTCCCGACCGAGTCGAAAAGTCGTTTACGAGGCTCTAGTTGATTGCTGGTGAGGAGGACTGAGGAGAAATGTCCACGTTTTACCCCTACGTTAGTCCGTGCCCCATCGAGGACTGCACGCAATATCTGTGAGTACGATTCGCTCATGCAGGCATTCGACTACATTATTTTGTAGCCTACTATCTGACTGATTTCAATCTTGCGTTGAGATTCGCCACACATTCCGGGATCATGGTGGTTATCCTGGTGAAAGCGCCCCGAACATTTCTAACTATTCCAAGGATACAGTGCTAGTGCCCTACTGTGGAAGCCGTTATCATGACATGAGGACGAATATCACACAGGGCTTGTCCTACAGATGATCAAGAAACTCCATCCGAACTTTCTAATGAAAGTATTCTTGAAACTCGAATGCAGACTGAGATTTTGCGACTTCGGCGGTATTTGTAGAAGAGGGTGGCTGCTCCAAACGATGGAGCTTGCGCTTCCTGCCGACCGACTGAAACTTGACTGACTCACGACTGCCGTCGACTAAAGAGCCAATTAGAAATGTAAAGAGGAAAGGGATACATGGGTACGAGTGATGACTCATGAGCAACTGTCCACCACTGCACCTACATTGTAGATCATACAGTCCGAAAGGGCTGTAACTGGGCACCAAATCTAAGACCAGGAGCAATCTACATCGAAGTATAACCTATTCCTGTGCTTGCTGTGCCTGATGCATTGCGTGTGTACATTCACACACTGCACAGAAATGTGACGAACATTCATGACTGTAAGGTGCTAGTACAACGATGAGCCCCCTCCCCCCCCCCCTCCCCCTCTCCGAGCAGCATGGCACGATGGCAAGAAGGGAACAGAACTGGCATTGTCTGCTCAACTCTGCTGCTGAAAATGGTTGCCGAAACTACAAGGAGTCCCCTGTACCACCAAATACTGTTGTATTCGACTTTCTCTAAGTGTATTATTCTCGCTGAAGACTCGTGACGATGGTTGGCTCTTGACCTGTTCTGTGGCGTGCCGCAGGGACCAGCGTATGAACTGGAAGGTGACGAAATGCGGCGGCACGACGTTTCTCAGCGACCGCGGCACGTTTGCCTGCGGGCACATGGTGGCGGACTTCCAGTGCAGGTACTCCTGCGGCAAGGGCACCACCGAGTTCCCGTTCGTCGAGTCCTGGTTTGCGTGCAAGAATCATGGCTACGTGTACAAGCAGTGCGAGAACTACGAGGACTTTGCAGCCGCCATGAATACCCTGGTCGAGTTCATCGACCTCGCAAAGCCGGCTGGCGTAGAAAGCCAGACATTCCGGCGCTGGCTGAAGCGCACCACCAGAGCAGTTATGAACCAGTACCGTGACTCTGGGAAGCTGTAACATTAGTACTCCACCACGCACCCTACTACTCCACCACGCACCCTACTACTCCACCACGCACCTTACTAGTGCACCATGCATCCTAGCTGCTCCGGGCACGAAACTTGAACGGCCATCCACTTTTTCACGCTCCCAGTATGCTGTTGATACTGATACTTGTCGTTGTGTTTTGTCAGTCATGCTACTTAGACTCTGCTCGAGTGTGAACGGAGCGTCGTGCAAGCTACTCCTGCTCCCAGGCCAAGCAATACACCTCCATTGTAACCAGATGTCTTTTAAACTGCTCAAAGCTAGTAGCATGCAGCTTAGGCATTGGGTCACTTCGCTCCTGCTCCCGAGCATTTATTTTGTTGCTGTCTTTGTGAATTTTTTAAAGCTTTTGCCTATACATGTACGAGTATCAGTATCATAATATTATAATTATTATGTGAATAATATTATAAGCTTTAACGACTTGCCATCACAACACTCAACACCAATCCACTTTGTGAATAGATCAAAATAATGTTGAAGCTAGGTGGAATTGCCCCCCCCCCCTCCCCTGCTTTGGCAAGAAGGGGACATAGGATGTGTGTCGAAGTCAGCGTCACTTAGTGTAAGTTATGCTAGTACATGTACTCTGATTAGACATACAAGTACATGTACAGTCATTCGCTTTGTATTGACTGTCTGGAGCACGGGTGTATTCATCCATACTGAAATATGCTGGCATAAGATGTACCTACATGTAGGTACTGTACAAGTACACATTTTCGTTCACGGAATCTTTCGTTAGATCACTCCACCAGCAGGCTTGTTATGTACTAAATTTCGTTTTGGTCGAGGTCTGTCACCCCGAACGTTCATAAAAAAAAACTTTAGTTTGGTACAAACTTTAGTTATTTCGTGCCCCCTAACGGATATAGCGGAAAGGTAATTTCAAACGAAAATTTGTACTTATACAGTAGTGCAAGAATGGACTAGCATGAGCTGATTGTTTAGTAACTGGTGGTGTTAGTGGACATTATAGCGTAACTTGGAGTTTCTTGGTCCTTTTTTCTTTGCTATAAACTTGTACAGTAGTAAGCGGACTTTCCTGTTCCACTTGGTCTTGGGGGTACGTCTTATCCGAGCTTGACTGTTTGTACTTCAATATCGTTTCGTGGACTGGTATGTCTCTGCATGAGAATTGCCAGTTGGCATCTGACAGAGATGCCTGGCAGTCGCACTGTGCATCTACTGCTTACACAGCTGCATAATGCCGTTTATTATTATTATTATTTTTTTAAATTTTACTATTATTATTTTTTCGGCAACGCAGATGATGATGATGATGACTTCAAGTGACTTGTGATTGTGTTCAACTGTTCACCTGCCAAACGGTACCAGGGAATGAAGGCTTTCAGTATGGAATATAATTATTACATCCGCAAGAAAACCAGAGTACAGTACTCACGCGATTAGAGCCCTCTCTTGAATACTAGTAGTGTCCCAGTCTATAGAGCCAGTGAAAACATAGAGCCCTCTCTTGAATAGCCCCCCCCCCCCCCGGGCTTTTAACCAAGCGCATTTGCAAGTCCAATCCACCCTTATAATTAGGGCTCAAACGGTCACGGTTTTACCCCTGACGGTTAACTGCTAAGCTAACGGTCGGTTAACCGGTTATAACCTATAAGCCACGGCAATCCTGCGGACTCTTTTTTAACCGTATATTTGAATACTCATTCAAAAAATGTACCCTATTCAGTACAACCACGCACACTTTATTCTCTTGCATGCTCATTCATACATACTCTCACACCAAGAGACCAGATATGACCGAGTTGACAGCCCAGAAATTGCGTACGCGTGCGACAGCCCGCGAAAGTGCACACTTTGCAACGAACTGATACTTGAAAAATTGACTGAAAAGTTACTGCGTGACCGTTATCTTTATCGGTTAACCGTTAATTCTTCGTAACCGGTCTGCAACCGGTTAATCGGACTAATCGTTTGAGCCCTACTTATATATTATGTTTGATCTGTTCACACAGTAGATTGACTTTGCGTGTTGTGATGGCATGTCATCATTCAATGCTTATACATTACAGTATTCACATACATGTACATGTAGAAGGCGAATGCTAAAAAATTCACAAGGCAGCAAGCAATGCTGGGCAGCAGCAGCGAAGTGACCTGATGCCTAAGACTAAGACTCAGTAAGAGGTAGGACGTGTGCTCCTAGCTTTAAATGTAAAATAATCTGGTCACAATGAAGGTGTATTGCTTGGCAGGCTGAGAGCAGGAGTAGCAAGGACGATGCCTCGCTCACACTACAGTGTAGACCAGGGTCTGAGTAGTATAACTGACAACGCGGCATAATACATGTACATGTTTAATATGTATTAGTATCAACAGCATACTGGGAGCGCGAAAGTGGACGGTCATCCGAGTTCTGTACCCCGGCAGTGCTGCTAGGGTGCATGGTGCTCTAGTAGGGTGCGTGTTGGAGTGCTACAGCTTCCTGAATACTGGTTTACAACTGCTCTGGTGGTGCGCTGCAGCCAGCGCCGGAATGTCTGACTTTCTACACCTGCTGGCTTTGCGAGGTCGATGAACTCGACCAGGGTGTTCATAGCGGCCATAAAGTCCCCATAGTCGTGACACTGCTTGTACAAGGAGCGGTGATTCTTGCATGCAAACGAGGCCTCGACGAACGGGAACTCGGTGGTGCCCTGGCCACAGCAGTACCTGCACTGGGAGTCCCTCACCATGTGCCCGCAGGCAAACGTGCCGCGGTCGCTGAGAAACGCCGTGCCTCCGCATTTCTTCACATCCCAGTTCATAAGCTGGTCCCTGCGGCATGCCAGAGAAAGTACACACACCAACCATCATCTTCAGTGCAGATAAGCACTTTTAAGAGACCAATATAACAGACTCAAGTAAAGGGAAAGCAACAGCATTATTATGCCCTGTACAGATTTTTCATCAACCATCACACCATAACTGCCCTCTCCCGCCGACCAGCTGTATAATTATGTATGCTGCTGTTCGGAGAGGGGGAGGGGGGGGGGAGGGGGCATCGTTAGTATACAGTCATGAATGTTCTTCACATCTCTGTACAGTGTGTTCATGTACATGTACATACACTCGGACGTATCTTATCCGGGCATCTTGGGACCGGGTACTGCCCATATCTCAGATTTGCCTGTATCTCAGGATAACTCATCTACCATGTGTCATATCATTTTTTGAAGACATTTTTTGGTCCAGGCACGGACAAGCACAGGAATAGGTTGTACAATGTCCTTCGATGTAGATTACTCTCTTAGATTTGGTGCCCAGTTATCACACTTTCAGACTGTATGATCTAGTTGCAGTGGTGGACAATTGCTCATCACTCGTCGACAATTGGTCATCACTCGTCCCTTTCCTCTTTACATTTCTAATTGGCTCTATATTCGGGTTAGATTACTTTCGTTAGAAAGTCTCGATGGAGTTTTCCTGATCTGCATAATGGTGGTTATCCTACACGTGCTGTAGTGGAAGGTCTTTCGCAAGCCCTCATAGACCGGGAACTATTCCCCTGATACAAAGCCCTACGGTGTAAACAGTTACATGACGCAATCTTATCCCGGAATGTGTGGCGAGTTTCAACACAGGAATGAAATCAGACAGATACTAGTGGAATGCTGGCATATTTAAAAACAAATCGTACTCACAAATATTGCGCGCAGTCCCCGATGGGGCACGGACTAAAGTAGGGGTAAAACGTGGCCATTTCTCCTCAGTCCTCCTCACCAGAGATCAACTGGAGCCTCGTAAACGACTTTTCGACTCAGTAGCTTGGGTCGGGAAGAAGACACAGTCACACCGGCATCCAAACTCAACGGAAATCCATTGGAAATAGTGCTATGGTGTTCCAGAAGTCCACTTGATATACTTCTATTGAGCATTGGCTGCACGGCCCATAAGCATCGCGTCATCGCGTGTTCGCTTCGACCACACGATGCCGATGGGCCTGCTTTCTACTTCTACTTCTAGGCGCGTGTCCACACAAGCACGCGAAGATGGGCTTTCCCGAAATGACAAAAGTCTCCGAATGAGCATAATAAACTACACAAATGTAGCGACTGGACTGCATACTACACTGCTTCGCGCCAAGGTCGAGCATCATCACGATCGTCCACTTTACTTCGCTTGTGTCCTTTCGACATGGGCAGTAATTACTGTAATTACAGGGATTTATACTATTTCAAGAAGTATTCATGTCCTAACTACCACATAATCATTAGTCATTACTTTCTATGTGATAACAGCATCACAACTACTAGTATAGTAGTAACTTGAACTATAAACTACACGAGTAAGTAATTTCAGTGTTTCACCAGCACCGGTGCACCGGGCGCCGCGGGCTGCACCCGGACCCATGTCCATGTCCATCGCATGGTGCATGTAGCCAAGACTAGAGTACATAACCCCGGGTTATGTAGTCTTGATGTAGCTGCTCCTGGCTGCAGGCCTGGCTGCTGCTCCATGTCTTGCTAGATTCTACGGTGTTTTTTCTCGACTCCAACTCAGTGGGGGAAAAAACATGATAGCCTTACTTTAGCCTATGCCTATGGGTAATCCTGAAATAAAGATTATTATTATGGTATGACGACTATAATGAGTCAGCGCGATACCGCGTAACGCGTTGAACGACGTAATGACATGTACATGACTGTACATGTACATGCTCTGCTTAGTCTGCTAGCTACTGAATGCTAGCTTGACGTGAGCATGGTGCATGTGAGCGGGGAGTCATGAAGGGACTGTCACCTCTCGCTTTGGCCCGTTTGGGGAGAGTCCCTCGTGACTATCACCTGCAGTACTTCATGGCTTGGTTGACATCACTCACTCAAGATGAACTACATGTACATGTACACAAGGCAGAACAACACTCAACAGAGACCAAAAATCTTCCTCGTTACTCCGAATTTCGTGTTCAAAAACACTCATCAGACGAACTGCGAGATGAACTACGTTACTTTCACAACTACTAGTACTAGTAATAACTTACAAGTAGAATCTACTGTTACATGTTGGTCAAATCGAGAGTGACAGGTTTTCCACAAGCGCAGTGCACGTCGTTTCGAGTCCTCTCGACCCGCTGCACACCTACATGTACATGTACATGTAGCCACGCTCACAACACTCAAAAGCCAGGTTGATCACAATCATATCTCCTAGTAGACTCTACTGACTGAATGGACTCGGATGGAGAGCCAAGGATAAATTTGTAGAAAGAAAAAGGACCAAGGAACTACAAGTTACGCCGCTATAATGTCCACTTACACCACCAGTTACTAAACAATCAGCTCATGCCATAACTTTAACATTGCACGACACTGACCGACGGGACGGACGTTTTACAATTAATTTTAAAGCCTTAGCAGCCTGGTCGTAAATTTCATATGGCATTCAATTGACCGTAAATTTGGTGTCTCTCAACGGATTTGATTGAAAATTTCACCACACACTCCTGCCACTATGCTGGCCCTCTGGACATGATTTAAAAGTTCTTGCGCCTCACTGACAGGCTGTCCAGGCCGGAAAAACTCAAAATTCCGGCATAGTGCCACGGTGTGCGAGCCACCCAGGAGCCAAACAAATGCATTTACAATTTTTCACATTTTCTTGCCCATTCTGTCCGTGCGCGGGATCCAAACCTAAAAAAAGTCCAGAAGCAGCCATGGGTGGTGGGATAGGCCCCTCAATGTGGCCCTGGAATCTGTCACAATGGCACGAGTGGGCGTTCTCTCACAGTACTCCCACAGACCCAAGTCATTTTTTGAATTTTTTTAGGTTTAGCACGTGCTACGAGGTCGTACCTTTGAAACAACATCCAGTGCTGGGACCTCCACAGCGAGCCATTTCCACAGCGGAAACCAATGGTCGGCTGTCGCCAGATGTTCGCCGAGTTAGCGGCACAACGTATTTGCAATTGTCCTTGCCACGTGTGTTACTCGGAGGTTGGAGGGCTACTCTGTCTTTCAGAAGAGGGCTGATGCTGCTGGTGTGGACACGGTGCATAAGGAAACGGAGTTTCCATTTGGCACGTTTGTTTACGGCGTGTTTACGTGGTTTTCCACCTAGTCTGGACAGGCCCTGACCATTGCTGACTGTCCACCAGCGTAACCAGATCTTATACAGTCAGCGAGTGCGACAAAATGGCACAAAACTGAAAAGGAGTACTGAGACATTCGGCGACCTGACACCTACAATGTACATGTAGCTCCAACACTTCTCCAAGGCGCAAACCAACAACCTTCCAACTTGGAAGGCTCAGGTTCGGAAAGGTCCAAGAGGGGAAGGAAAGCGCAACGAAGGAGAGCACGAGCTACGCATTACGGCAACAAAGAATGCCGAAAGTTACTGGATGATGACGAAACTAGTAAGACCATTGGACATACCGGCCTTACTACAACTCGACGACGCCCTCTTGGACCTTTCCGAACCTGAGCCTTCCAAGTTGGAAGGTTGGTTTGCACCTTGGTCGCCGAATGTCTCAGTACTCCTTGTCAGTTTTGTGCCATTTTGTCGCACTCGCTGATTGTACATGTACATGTACATGTATAAGATCTGGTTGCGTTGGTGGACAGTTAGTCATAACTCGTGACATTGTGCCCTTCTCCTTTTTCACCCTAATTTAATTGGCTCACCATCCGAGTTAAATGTATACAGTAGTATGCGTACTTTCCTGTTGCACTTCGTCTTGGGGCTATACAGTCAGTACAAGTACAGTCAACTTCGCTTATAACGACACTCGGCGGCGCATCAAAAAGGTGTCCTTATTCGCGAAGTGTCGTTATACCCGAAGTCCCATTATATGTATTACAGTGGGATGGGACTTTGCTCTGGGCATGGAAATTTTGTCGTTATTCGCGAATTGTCGTTATATCCGCAGTCGTTATAAGCGAAGTTGACTGTATGTCTTCATCATGATCCGAGTTGACTGTTTGCACTTCAAGTGACCTGTGATGTGTTCAACTGTTCACCTGCCAAACGGTAGCAGGGAATGAAGGCTTTCAGTGTGGAATATAATTATTACATCCACAAGAAACCCAGGGTACAGTACTCACGCGATTAGAGCCCTCTCTTAAATACTAGTAGTGCCCCAGTCTATAAGAGTCAGTGAAAAAATATAGCCCTCTCTTGAATAGCCCCCCCCCCGGGCTTGTAACCAAGCGCATTTGCAAGTAGGCCTTGACAGATTATGCTAGCATAATGTTTCGCATAATTCCTACAAAAATCGAATAGTCGCATAATTCGAGGCAAATTGCATACGAATCGTATAAAATCGGGAATAATCCGCCTGTTCGCATCAAATTCCATACAGTTGTACAATGTCATGTTCTACAAGTACAAGTACAAGTAGATGCACCAGGAAGTTGAATGTTTACGACTCGCTTGATAACATGTCCAGTCCACTACAATCAGTGACGGTCGTAGCCATGTCGGACGCGTCGACGGTGCGTTGACCCCGTTAAACGTTTGCTACTACAGTACAACGCCCTCTACAAAAAATTTCCCCTGTAATTTTGCACAGAACCGTTATACATTAGCAGCATATGTGAGCATAATGCGGCATAATATGATAACTTTTAGCATAAAAATGGCATAATTCTGCAATTTTTTCAGCAATGCGAAAAGCATAATTTCACGAAAATATTAGCATAATCTGTCAAGGCCTATTTGCAAGTCCAATCCACCCGTTCACATGTACATGTACATGTACATGTAATCATGTTTGATCTGTTCACACAGTAGATTGACGTTGCGTGTTGTGATGGTATATTGTCATCATTCAATGCTTATACATTATTCACATACATGTACATGTAGAAGGCGAATGCTAAAAAAATCACAAGGCACTGAAGGCAGCAAGAAATGCTGGGCAGCAGGAGCGAAGTGACCCGCTGCCTAAGACTAAGAGGTAGGAAGTGTGCTCCTAGTTAGCTTGTAGGGTGCGTGGTGGAATACTAAAGCTGTCTGAATACTGCTGCATAACTGCTCTGGTGGAGTTCCTCAGCCAGCGCTGGTATGTCCGACTATCTGCACCTGCTGGCTTTACGACGTTGATCATCTCCCCCAGGTGGTGCATGCCGGCCACAAAGTTCACAACGTCGTGACACTGCTTAAAGCCGTGCCTTGCGCATGCAAACGAGGCCTCGACGAACAGGAACTCGGTGGTGTCCTTGGGACAGGAGCGCCTGCACTGGGAGTCCGCCACCATGTGCCCGCAGGCAAACGTGCCGCGGTCGCTGAGAAACGCCGTGCCGCCGCAATTCCTCATTTCCCAGTTCAGCTGGTCCCTGCGGCATGCCAGAGAAAGTACACACAGCCACCATCATCTTCAGTGCAGATAAGCACTTAGAGACCAAGATAACAGACTCAAGTAAAGGGAAAGCAACAGCATTATTATGCCCTGTACAGATTTTTCATCAACATCACACCATAACTGCCCTCTCCAGCCAACCAGCTGTATACCGTATTATCTCTAATATAAGCACGGTCCTTTATTTTTTCAATGTACCTCTGCCCCGTGCTATTAAGGTGGCAGACTACCCAAAAATTCGCTGAAAAATCGAATTTGTAAATTCATATTGAGTGCTACATCAGTTGAAAGAGCATGAATAGCTGCAAATTCTCTGAAAATTGTGTCCCGATCTGACCGGCCGTTCAAGAGTTATGGCCAAAAATGTGCCCTTGCAAGGAAAGATTTTTTTGTTGCACGCTGTCATTTGTTGGCAGCACTGTATTTGAATGTGAGCAGACCGTGCGCAACTTGTCGTATCATGGAAACACGTGAAACTGAGTGTGCAGAATTTTGCTCCAAGTCCAAAAAATCAGGTTTTTGAGCCACGTATTGGGCTGCACGGCGGCGGGCTTCGCCCGCCGCCGTGCAGCAGGACTTTTGCCAGCACCCTCGTGACGTTGCAGATATGTGGCTTGATTATTGTAGTTGACGTTGATT